TATATATATATATATATATATATATATATATATATATATATATATATATGTGTATATATTCTTAGGAGTGTCATAATATAGACACTCTTAATATATAATATATGATATATAACATACTATAATATAATATTCTAACATGTAATTATTGTAGATGTCTATATTATGACACTACTTATATTATTGTCTACCTTTAACTCCGGGAAAGGATTTTTTGAATCTGAACTTCAATAAGGTTACGGTCACTCGCTCAGCAGTGGGAAGTAGGCTCAGGACCACGAGTGCATCGCAAACTTCCTAACATGAGGAGTAAACCAATATTTAAAATCAATATGTAATCAATATGTGATTATGTGTGTACATGTACAATATATGTACAATATATGTGTATATATTATACTGTATATATATATATATATTATCAATTAATATTTCTATTATTTCCTCATCGTTTTTATCAGTATCAATTTTTAAAGACATAGGTAAATTGCGATCGTACCTCTTTGTATGAAGAAAATTGCATAGACATCGCCTGACAATGGATGAAGTCCAAGTCTTTTAGTTTGACAACTAACTGGCCGACAGTATCCGGTTTAGAATACTTGTCGTAGTCACACAGTACAAACCTAGTACCAAGAAAGAAATGTGTTTTTTGAACCAACTGACGTTACAAAACCCAGTACACATTAAAAGGTTTCGAGGTATAGTTAGCGTGCAATCGTCGGTTTGTATTGTAATACAACTGCATAACAGGATGACAAAATTATTTGATAAAAAAAAAATATATATATTAAATATATATTTAAATATATAATATAGAGAAAATATATATTGAAAACATTTTTTTAAATATATAGATTTTTAGTTATATTTACTAGTATACATGTGAGCAAGAGTAAATAATAACAAAAAAACTATTTACTCCTGCTGTAAGTATAATTTTCAGCCCAGCGCACGGAGTCTTAGGCAGACGTTATTATGCAAGTATCATCGTACCTCACTTGAAAGTTCTTGACTGCTTCCTGCTCTAGATCTATCACAAAACGTTCGTTGAATATCGGGTCGGTTGTCTTGCGATGTATCTGCGTCTGAAACTCGTAGTCATGCCTGAGCTGTTTGCGGGAAAGCGGACCCGATATCGAGTCGGAAAACGATCCGAAGAGCGACTTCCGTTCGACGTAGATCGTGAGGAACGGGTCACAGGTTCCGGTATGAGGTCGCACGGGTAGGTCACGAATTTCATGGACCGTAATTGTCAGCTTGTCGACCTGTAAACATCAATTCGGCTGTTGCTAAGCGGAGAAAGAGAGAAAAAGAGCGAGAGAGAGAGAGTGAGTGAAAGAGCGAGAGAGAGAGAGAGAGAGGAAGAGAGAGAGAGAGAGAGAGACGAGAGAGAGAGAGAGAAGAGAGAGCTGAGCGAATGTGAAACTGAGTTTAATCACACCATTGATTCTCAGTTTTTATTTCTTAGCCTTGCGATGTTTTCTAGTACGGCAATATTTCGAAACTCCATCGTAGCAGGGAAAATGATGGCCCGAGCACACCCGGACTATTACCTTATAAACGCCTATATACTCTAATCTAGGGTCCTATTACAGAGAGTTGCGCAACTCAGGATTTGCTCCATGTTGTTTCCAAATGGATCACACCCTTGCCGGCTTAGTACAGCGCTGTATGATACGCATGTCAATGCGTCCGTAGTAATCTAATTAGACTACTCGTGATTCAATAAACATCAAAATTTACAGAGATTAATAAGCTAGACAGTGTCTAGTGTATCTGATTCAGAAATGTACTCATCGTTTCGCGCCAATATGATAGTTTAATTGGTACACTTTCTTACACGACCTAGCCGTGGGCGTATATTAACCTGTGCGATTACGCGCGTAGATTACCTTGCTACATTATTAAACCACTCGGCTTCACTAAAAACCCAGAGAATCACGAGAAATATATAGCATAGAGCACATGTGTTTATATGGTTCTAAATTTCTAGAAAAGTAACTCAATCGTTCGCGCCATATTGATAGCTTAATTGTACACTCTTCTTAGTGTAAACCAACTGACGGGCAGCTAGCATTTTGGAAGAATAATGCACAACTGTAAATTCACAAAGATAATGCGTCACTCTCACTCGCTCGCAGCTGGTTAATGTGTTTTGCAGTTCTAGAAATCTAGTACACATAGACACATGGTCTTAGGCTATAATCTCTGCTAAAATTTTTGAGATTTATTGAAGCACGATGAGTTAATTAATTTACTACGGTAGTCTGTACGCATATCCATACAGCGACTGTACTTGGCTGTAACCGGTCAGTGGTGTCGATCAATTTGAAACAACATGCCGCGCAGCGATCACGCTGACCGATTTTTCCGACTTAGTCATGGGCGCAACTCTTGTATACAGGGGACGCCTACTCCTAATCTACAGCAGCGACAACAGTAAAGAAATTTACCAAAAAGTTCATTCGTTGTTTTCGTCATATTAACGAATAACGGTAAGCTCTATCGAGTTCAATTCAGTGAATATCGTAAAGCATGCTTACCGATCGATCAACACAACTCCAAGGGCTCACCAGACACACAGCGCGCGCGCAGGGGCGCGACGCAGCACGGTGGCACCGCACGCACGCCGCATCGTCTACGCACGCACGCACGAACGAACGCACGCTCACCACACACGCCATTAATAATATATTATATATAATATATATATATATAAGATATATTATAGTAGATATAGATAGATAGATATATACCTCATTGATGTCGTAGCAGATCGCAAAGAAAAGCGTTCCAAAGAGAACCTGCTCTTCTGAGAGCAATGGAATCGGTGTGACATTTTCTAATTCCTTAGCCACCTGCGCGCTGACTCGCTGCAGAATCTATAAAAAACAGGTAGTTAACACCCTGAAAAAACCCACCGACCTTTGTCACGTCGTCAAAGAGGTTTTATGGCGGCTGTAACCTTTCTTCCGCCCTCGCGTTTAATAGAGCCAACGCGCTATTGCAATGTAAACTCTCGTGGTTTAATAATCCTAGTCATCAGAATATAGGCAATACTAATGCTGAGTCATGCCTAATGTCACCAAATTACTACTATTCGAACGTTATGTGTAACTCTACTCGGATATATATATATATATATATATATATATATATATCCTGTAACATATATGTGAATCGAGGCCGTATATCTCCGTTACAGGTAGTTTATTACTCTATGAATATGGCAGACAATTAACTCTCTCTAAACGATAGAAACATTATACGGCTTATAGTTGACAAGAAATGCTGATGTCCACTCTTTTAACAACGTTGTATAGAGCGCCACTATACGAAAAGGTTAATCAGAATATGGATAAAAAATAATGGATAAAAAACACGTACTGGCGATGATCCGCTCGTGGCGCTACTGTCGATAGATGTGAGACTGTCCCCACTACCGTATCCTGACAGCGTCTTTACGGCTTGATTGAAACCGTGGGTCAGACTACGAGTTGGGCTCGGACTGAGTCTTTGCCACTGCGTGGGTGCGATGCTGTTCATTTCACAGATGCCATTGAACTTGTCGCAATCAGAGGTTCCTTCCCCGTTGCTGTCGTTACCTGCTATTACATTTAAAACGGCTAGTATTCCGAGTAGAGAAGAGGGAAATTAGTTTCATTTATAAGCAGGAAAATGTATGAACGCATTAATGGGGCGGGAAGGGGAAGGGACATATCTCATTTCTGTTTTATTTTATAATGAATGCAGCATTAATTCGCACAGATATAGTTTCGAATTGCATTCTTCAAAAATATAAAATGCTTTGACAATTTCGCTGACTACGATCACTGCCAAAACGCGTTACGCGTAAAACACCAGGTGCGCGTTGCCACAGCAACACACGCGCGGGAGTGGCAGCCTCTAGGGGGTGGGGAAGTAAGAAACTTGTCGGGCAACAATCTATGAAACAAATTCCGTCTCAGCTGTAGCGCTGCGCTAGTATGCAGTAACTTATGACAGTTTTCAGCAGACGAAACGCTTACCTATCTGTGCATATGACATAGTCAACCTACAATATATTACCAGTTAATGGTATTTACTTCAAGCAATTATTTCTCAATATAAACGTAAAAAAGATGCTAGCTTAAAAAAGCTTGCATCTTCAAATTTGGACAAAAATCGGATCCCTTAGTTATAAATAGCCTTTGGTGCCTCCTTCATGGCAATGTGAATGATGTGAACCCCATCCTTAATCTCTGTCGTGACACCCCTGTATATTCGTTGTCACAATTCTAAGATAATGTTATGTGTGTGTGTGTGTGTGTGCGTGCGTGCGTGCGTGCGTGCGTGCGTGCGTGCGTGTGTGTATGTATGTGTGTGTGGATGGGCGTGACTCACGTGGGAAGAGGCTGCAGCTCGGGCATTGCTCGTGCAGCTTGCACATCATGCAGATGAGGAAGCTGAGGATGATGGCGGCCGCGATGGCCATGATAGTCAGCTTATCGGCATCCGTGAGCGTGATCATCATCGCTGCGGCAAGAATTTACCGTGCGGATCCCTGCCATCGGTTGCACAAGCGCTGTTCATTGAAACCCCGTGCGTCTTCAGAGCAGAGTCGCTGACTGTATGTAATGCAAGGCTCGCCCCTCAAAGCAGAGTAGCTGTTTGTAATGTAACACTTGCCGTCAAAGCAGAGTAGCTACAACGGCGAGGGGTAGTTGCCGAGAATCAACACTCTCCTAATAATATTAAAATAAAAGGAAACGATATATTATACGGGCGGACGTGCCATATATTATCCGTCGTGGATATGTGGCAGAACTCAAAGCAGAGTAGCTTATTATAATGCAACGCTTGCACTCAAAGCAGAGTAGCTACAACGGCGAGGGGTAGTTGCCGAGAATCAACACTCTCCTAATAATATTAAAATAAAAGGAAACGATATATTATACGGGCGGTCATGCCATATATTATCCGTCGTGGATATGTGGCAGAACTCAAAGCAGAGTAGCTTATTATAATGCAACGCTTGTCCTCAAAGCAGAGTAGCTACAACGGCGAGGGGTAGATGCCGAGAATCAACACTCTTCTAATAATATTCACATAAAAGGAAACGATATATTAGTCACGCAGTTATTCCATATGTTATCACGAGCTAATAATAGATGTGTTATCAGCTCTTGATATAATCCGTCTTGGTTATGTTGTGGCAGAACTAGACGTGTAACAGCTGTGAACGCTCTCTGAGAAAACGCCTTAGACGTGGAATAATCACATCTTATGAATCCCCGTTCACGACTGTACCACGTATGCTCGCGCTCTCTCTCTCTCTCTCTTTCTCTCCCCCTTTCTCTCTCTCTCTCTCTCTCTCTCTCTCTCTCTCTCTCTCATCACTATTGCTCCTTCTCTTTCTCTCTAACTCTCACTCTCTCTCTACATCTCTCTCTTTATTAATATATATAGTAGTATATAGTATAACAACATATACTATACTGAACACTGTAATCGTTGAGTCATCCATAGGAACGATGGCGCGTGTAATCAATGTTCTCTGACACAACGGGGTAACAGAGTTTTATAAGTCAGCGAACGTCGCACGTATTATAGGTCAACTCGGCGTAATCTTTTCTAGTCGCGCTTACGAGTTTCGTTTTACGACCGGCACATTTCGCACTCGCACCACATTTCACGATTGCACGCTCGATTTCGCTTGCAATGTTGCCAATGACGTCTGAGCTTTGTCGCTTCACATCACCAAAACGAAATGGCATCAGAGCGCGAAATGTAGCGTCCTAACAAAACGATCGAATGTCACAAAAAACGTTTGTAGTGGCGAAAAAAATCCCGACACAGGCCAGGTGCACGAAGCGCGCAAACTATACGTTATCTGCGTCG